AACACACGGACACGCGAATAGAAAAGACGAAGAGTACGTTAATTCGAGGTGGAAAGATATTTCATGACTTGAGTCGTTAGCGTTTAGTTTCCATAAATTACGGAAGACACTATTACTATTCTTTGAAAGCCGCGAAAAAATTGCTTCTGGCTTTTTATAGATGTATCCGTCTTTGTGTCACTTAATAATTTAAGTGAAACATTCTCTTGATACAAGACTTGAATAAATTATTATAACTACTCTCAATTATGATCACAAAAATACTTGTAAAAATTGTTAAAACTACCCTTAATTATGATTATAAAAAACACTTGTAGAAATTGTTAAAACTACCCTGAATTATCATACAAAAATCTTGTAAATTCATATTAAAGGATTTGGGAAATTGTTTAAAGATTTCATAAATAAACATTGTTATTATTTTTATTACATTTCGACCTATTTTGTATAATAGATACTACAGAATTCATTGATGGAAAATTCTGTAAAAAAAACTTCAGAATCTATCATTTTTACCATTTTTCTTCATTTAAAAAATATTTACAGATATTCATAAGAAATTTGATTTATTAAAATGCAGAAAATCTCATTACTCTATTTCTATTTCCACTTTGCATGTGTATGCTTGCTTTCAATGACTGAATCGTCATTTGATAACTAATCAATTATAATTAACCCCATCAATCACTAATTATTTAACTAACCACTTAATTGATTTACTGATCGATTACTAAATGATTTTCAATAGTGAACTAATTGATTACTAATTGATTCTAATTAATTAACCTGTAGCTCAGAATAATTCGAAACTTGATCTGCGAATGAAAACAATTATTTTTCGAGTGCATTTAAGAAAATAGCAAGTTTTAAATAAACACAATTATAAAAATAAATATATGTTAAATAACTAATAAATGGTCTTTAACAAGTAGTAAATGGTATAATAACGAGTCAAAGTGTAATACCTAAAATAAAATACCCGAATAAGGGATGAAGAAATACAACCCACGTTTTAATGTCGAACACATTAAATACGTGAATCAATTAAAAAGTGAAATAGCGAAAGGATTAAAGTTTCCAATCCTAATCCATCGAAAATTACGACATCGCGTGACTAACTCGCAGAACGAACTTCTCTTTTATAGGACTTCGAATTCATGGAAGGGAAAAAATGAAATAGGTCCAAAGGCGAATTCATTTTTCATCTAACAAATTTCTTCTCTTTCTTCCTCACTATGAAAACTCATTACCATACTTCGTTACGTATATTTCAAATTACGTTCGATAAAGCTTTCGGATTAAACTGATCATAAATTTCTGAGTAAATTCTCTAATAATTCGTCAGAGACAAATTTGGCGTTGGAAGAAAGAAATGGAATGGTGAAATATTAGGCATATTTTTAGTATTTGCTCGTAAAATTTGGTCTATTTATTTTGAGAGTGGTGTAAATACATTTTTGAGAAAAAAAATATTCTTGTTTCGAGAAAATTAAAGATTTGCATACTAGTTAATTAAAATTTAAATAACTAGCATACTAGTTATAGATTAATTATGTCAAGTCTGACAATATTTCTACTTATGTAAAATAAAACAAGTGTAACCACGTGACTCCACCACCTATATATATCACTAACTATAAATTACGCTTACACCATTTTCATAATAATGGCTACGCAAATTCTTTTACATTGAACAAAATTTAAAATTGAATTTAAATCGAATAATTTCAAATTAAACAAAATATTGACATTTTTAAAAATATTGTTAACTAGTTATGAATAAAAAGTATGCACTAAATTATACACTAACACCACTTTGAAAGTAAACGATCTATTTGCTGAAATTGTAGAAAACGGTAAAAGAAGCGTATCTTCCGCATTGTCGATCGAAGATTTCGGTTCGAGTAGCCATATTGATGAACGAAAGTAAAGCTGGGGGCAAGCGAAGCGCACTTCCACCATCAAGAAACGAATCTTGATTAATGGTGTAAGTTTCCAGCGTTCCAGGCGACGACGTTCGGAATTTATAATGAAGGAATACATTAAAATGGTCCATCGCAACTGAAACTCGAGCTCCTTCTCGCGACGCCATTGTTCCCCAACCGCTAATCACGGAAAAATAACGTCGTTTCTCCCTGCAATTAGTGCCTCATCTTTTGATCGATGATGGCAATTACGCTTCGAAAGTGCCGATAGAAGACAAAGGGACACATTCATCAGTCGACTTCGAGTTAGCAGCGTTTTATTATTAGTAGCAGTGATTAGGGGAAGTGTTATTCACATGAACGAACCCTTTCAATACCGCGGTTTTCTCTCTTGGAAAGAATTAAGAGAGGAACAATAACACCGATTGTCGTGGGCTAACCATGCGTATTTTTTTAGTTTTGACTGAGATTCCAGATTGAAACTTTCTGGTACAGTCTTAACCCTTAAGCGGAGGGTAAGGGATCATTTTGACCAGAACAATAAACGTCTTCTTCAATTCAAGTGGTAAAAGCCAGTCGTTTTGAAGGACTATTATGTTTCATAAAATTTTTGAATAACTGAAAAGTAAAATATGCTGCGTTTTTGTTTGGAGTTTATTCAAAACTACCATTTAACATTTAACTATCATTTAACGTTTAGTTGTAGTCGTTTAGTTACATTAATTGGACGTTAACTATTGGCCACGTTCTAAACGCTGTCAAAACGTTTAATTAGTGAGGGTAATAGAACAATGATTTGACTTCGATACTTTTTAATCCTAGTAAATGTTATAATTAATCCAAAACCAGCGTATCAATCGCTGCAGATTATTTAATAGTTAATAGTTGGATGCTGAGAATTCTACAGTTAATTTAAACCGATAAGTCTGAGATCTTCATATGACAAACCTTGCGCGATGTAATAATTACGTGTCTAGACTCGAGTAATTTTAACTCGAAGAATAGTTTTCGTAGACGTTCTTAATAATTACAGGTTTCATTGATTTATCTGACTAGGTATTTTATTAACAGATAACTGATGTAATGATAATTTGTAATATTATTATATAATGAACATAAAATAGTATTGAAATGTCACGATCGAAAAAATGTGCAGAAAATGGATGCTGGATGTACAAACAAATTTACAATTACCTTTTTTACAAAATAAAAATGTTCAAATAATAAGTAATAAAAAATAATTTATAGTAATTTACAAAATCTTCTAATTTATAATTCAGAAGCTTTTTCAAAAAAGCCCTGTCAAATATTATCGTATCGATTTTATGTAGTGAAACAAAATAATTATAAGTTTTAAAAGATTCGCATAATCAACTAACATAACAGACTTTCATCAAAATTTAAATCCTACGAATAACACAAGCTTATATACTTGCAAATCGTACAAGTTTGCTGTTTTCTAGGCTTCCCACATCTTAAGACGATATAAAGCGAAGATTAACAAAACCTATTTCCAACGCAAAATTATTCACGCGATCCATTCCACCGTGTCGTAACAGTAAAGCGATAACTTGTTCGCGATTATGCCAGCTCACAACAGTATACATTTTCAGGATGCAAATTCTCGCCTAACCGTCGATTTTACGTTCATCCTTGAATCCTCAATTTGAATGTAGATCATGGTTACGTTTCGTAATGACAAATTCATGAAAACTAGTCTACAAGTAAATAGACTTGACATTGAGCATACCAATTTTAACCTCTTTTTAGAAATTTCCTTACGTATAAGTTTCATACACAACGCAAAACCAAGAAATGAACATAAAACAAGTTATTTATGCCCATGTTTCGCATAATTTTCGCCTCAGACCGGAAAGTACGCCACAGAAACGATCGATCGATAAGAAATTCTGTCGATATATCGGAAGTGTCCAGACTATTGTCTTCAATTTAAATTTAACACTAGAACTGTCACACCAGTTAAATTGACTGGCAAATGTTACTGTTAAAAATTTCAATTTCGTCCTGCATAACCTTTCTATCAGCTCAGAAATTATAGCTAGTTTCGAGAGTTGAAAATCCTAATTTTGGTACCTGAATGAAATTTCTGTAAAATTAATCGGATTAAAAAGATTTTTCGCTAACCAAGCAACTGCGTGTTTCGACGAACTCGCCGAATAAATTATTTCGATCTTTAATATTCTTAACACTGGAAGCACACCAGTCACAATGACCGGTTCTGTAATTTGATTTTAAAACTCTTACTTCATGTTACAATTTTTTCGCAATACGATGACGTTTGCAGCGATAAGTAAAGGTGTAATGAATTTTATTTTTGTTTCATTTATTCAGCATCAAAATAATTTTGCATCGTGGCTATTTATACTTGTCGATGTTTTCTTAGGAATTTTTATCGCGCATCTTATAAGATGCCACAACATGAGCATAAACATAGCAGCGATGTAACGTAACATAGTCATCGATGTTTCACGTGGTCATTTCGTACACCGTAGTCGTTGAAACAGGAGATAATTCTGCTTTATATAACGTTATTTTACAAGCCCTAAAAACGGCGAAACGATTGAAAATTTCTGAATTGTTGCAAAAAGTGATGAATATACCAATGGTTGCTTTGATATCGAGGATGGTGAATGGTACGAACATGAAGAAAGTGAATCAGAACAAAATGAAATTGAACTTTATAGTGAGAATGAGATAGACAAAGAAAGTGTTTTGGAAGCCTCGGAAAATGAATTAGAAAATATTTGGAATTTACGTAAAAGTAGTGCTTGTGTGCTTTCAAGTTCTGAAGACGAAAATAAACGTATGGATCATCAAAATGAAATTGCTCCAGTTGGGAAAAATAAAAGGGTCTGATTATATTACTATAGCAACAGCTGTCATTATGCAGTAGTTATAATTCCATAAAATGGAATTCCTTATGAAAGATAGTATTAAATGAATAAATATAAAAATCTTCTATTATATCTTTTGTAAAAACCAGACATTTTGATTGTATTTGATAGAAATAGCTCCGTCTTAAAAATAGTATTAAATATCTAACTGACCACTTACCTTGTAATTGCTGACCGCATGAGCGCCATCGTAGATGTACAGATGATCGTTGCAGTCCAATTGTAGTTGATCAAAACGTAGCATAAATCGTTGAAGGATGCTATGGGTTTGAAACGTGATGGTACAGTCGAGGTCTTTCTCGTGTTGCGATATGATAACAGCCCCATCTATCTTTCTATAGAGATCACGCATGAAATTCTTCTTGCACACGTCGCTTATTTGATCTGCGAACAGAAAAATAATGCAACTTGAGAGAATTTATAGTGGTGGGTTTTCTAAACAATTTATTACTGACGAGACTTTGCTACTTTCGATGCTACCTTCGTGTTATGTACTTTGGAACTCCGATTTCGTTCAAAGTTTGCACGGAACATACGAAATAATTTTTAGAGACCACAGTTGCAACTTCGTAAAACAGAGGAGAAATTTATATTTGTTCTTGTAACTTGAATTTGGGGAGGATCATTTGAGGATAATGTGAAATGAATTTATTATGATGGAGAACGGTACATTTAGCAAACTCAGGACAGTAAATGTGACACTTGAAGAAGTTATTGAAGTTTATTTTTATTTTATCCACTGGTTCAAGTTTCTAGATCCTCAGATTCTCAGATCTTCAAATTTTTAGATCCTTAAATTTGCAATTGAAAATTTAATCATCAGAACTTCATTCAAATGTACTAGTGCTGTTTACTACACCACATTACTAATCTAACTAACTTATTTTCTTTCCCATAACGATTGTATCCTAATTTTATTACGTCACATCGTAGTAATAAATACTTGAGGCAATTTCAAGGTATCATAAATAAAATGTACTCCTCCAATAATGTTCTTTCTAATGTAACTTTCTAATTTTATTGCGATACGCAGACATCAGCATATAAATGGCCCAACTTTATTTCGTGGGCGCATAAAACTGATCGAATTCCGTTCGTTTTAATTTTCACGAAAGTACTTCGCAAAAAAGCGGGGAGCATACAACGGGCTGTAAAAAAAGTTACGGTCGTATTACCGTTGGTATAAGTGCTTGCATTGATAAGAAACGATTTTATCGACTTTTAAATCCACTCAAGTGCACCAGACATCAGGGCCCGATGTCTGTCCCTGCTGTTGGCAAGCTAGGTCGAATTATCCGATCGATTGACGACCGATTGATTCGCGCATCGCCAGGATAATGGCTCGAATTCGATTTCGATGCACCTGCGATTAGCTTCGGTCTGCTGCATTCGATGAGATAAGAGGGGCGAAAAAGAGTTTTCGCTCGTTTATACGATCATGTTGACGATACAACAATGAAAGTATTAACATTAACGCTGGGACCAAAGGACAGGTATAATGAGAGGCGATGCAGTGACAAGGAGGCAGGAGAGAGACGAAATAATACAATTTAAATGGCTGTGCTACATGAAACAGGGTGGAGATACGATTTCGACGCGGTATTTCGAAAAATGTATATAATGTTGCAAATATGGCACTCGACAAACAATGTTTTATGTGTACATTTGTCTATAATTTATTTATAACTTATTCATAAGAAATGCTTTGTCATCTATTTGTAATTTAATAATAAATTGTAATTTGTAATAAATACGATAAATATTTTGTACCATTCTTGTAACACATTAACCAGTAATTTATTTGTAATAAATATTATATCATTTTCTCTAACACTGTTACGGATTGAACTAGTCGAACGAGGAGTCTCAGAGCATAAAATGGGGAATTTAAAAGTACACAGGCAATTTAACGAAATTAGCGGGGTTTTCGGGGGCGACTGGTCAAGAGCAGCAGGCATGGCGAGTCCCATGCCTCGAAGCCCTACGTGCACGGGGAAATCTGTGGCCGTATTCGTCGAGCATCATGAGTATTTCGGCATGAAAAATACCATCGTAGCACCGGGGGTAACCAATCCGCCCAGGAGTGGTGGTGCTCACCAAAACACCGAGGGCCACTCCGCTTGGAAGAGGTGAAAATCCGGGCGAGGGCGAGCTTGCTTGCCCCGCGTTCCGGCTAGCTGTCTGCGGGATCCGTCGCACTCGAAGACGATAATAATTAATTTCTCTAAGAAATGTACATGTGCGTGGTGCACGTGGCACATGCTCTCAAATTTCAAGTAAAACGCCAGTTAATAAGTATCTGATCTACCGCGGAATGTCGGCGAATCCTGGTACGCACTTCGGCAGAAAAGAAAGACATTCCTCGGCGACGTATCCTGACACGTAATTTCCAGAAACGCGTACAAAGGTGCGGATCGCTCCGGTTGATGGCGGATACTGGCAAGTGCTGGCGCGAAGGCTCGGCCGCAAAGGACGAGCGGCATCGCGATGTTCGGTGGTTCGGTCGCAGAGGGATGGCCGCGAAACAAAGAGCGACGGAGAGCACGTGGCAGATTTCGAAGAAATCGGCGTAATTGCTAGGAGATGTTGTAGGGGAATGAAACATATAAAATGAGCGAGGGCACCGGGGCCCGGGCTTCACTTCATTCTGTCATTGTGCGCTTCACTTCATATTTGGTCATTGCGGACTTCCCTTCGTGTTTGTTGCTTGAAAAACCTTTCGTCTACTTGATACATTCGTTGATAAGCGTTAAATTGTCACATTGCCTTTCCGATTAACACTCGCTGCGGGACTTAATTGTAATACATTTGTTATACGTCAACTGAAATACATTTGCGCGTTTATCGCCGTCGAAAATTACATTTGTTCTGATACAAACACGTTTATCTGTATTTTTTCTGGAATAAATTATTGTTTCTTTATAAATTATTTCTTCAAGTATATTTTGTGGAGTAATCATTGTAGTACACACCTTTCAGTTTCAACTTTCCTGTGTTGTAAAATTAATATAAATATTTCAAAAGTTAATATTAGTAATATACAAAAAATTTACTACGAATTTCTAATTATTAAAGGATGCAGAATTAAATTCATTTGATTTAGATTTCCCGCTTGTCTATACACCCAATTTAGAGGGACAAGCTTCGCTAAACATCAAAGGTACCGCCCGGAGTGTTGCCACTTGTTATCTACTCTTTGCTGCAACTATTAGTCCAAATGACTAGTTCCAAGTTTCACAATTTATATTACAAAATTCTGATGTCCCCTCTCGTTATATTTCTTTGTGATAAATAATGGTTTTCTGTATTAATTGATGTTTTAGTACTTGATAATTTTAGTAGTAACTTGGTAATTTAATTGTATAGTTTGATTTGAGAGTTCAACTTGCATAGTTTGATAACTTGATTATTTAATAATTTGGTGATTTTATAATTTGATTATTTGACAACTTGATGGCTTGACAATTTAATAATATGACAATATGTATATTTTGATAATTTGATAATTTGATGATTTGATAATTTGATAATTTGATAATTTGACAATTAAGAAATATGTAAATTTGGTAACTTGAAAATTTTCGAATTTAAGAATTCTTACATATAGTAATTTGTATATTTGAAAATTTAGAAATTTAATAATTTCAGAACTTGATAACGTAAAAATTTACAAGTTTCAAATTAAATGGAAATCTGGAAACCTCATAATTTGGTAATTTGGTAATATGGAAATTTGGTAATTTAATAATTGGAAAATTTGATAATTTAGAAATGTTTAAAATGTGCTAACTTCATAATTTGGTAATTTGATAATTTGGTGATTTGGTAATTTGGTAATTTGGAAATTTGGAAATTTGATAAATTGGAAATTCGGTAATTTAGTAATTTGGTAAATTGGTAATTTGGTAATTTGGTAATTTGATAATTTAGTAATTTGGAAATTTGGAAATTTAATAATTTGAAACTTTAAAAGTTCGCAAACATATTAATTCAAAGATAAGAATATTTGAATATTTAATAATGTAATAATTTAAAAATTTAAAAATTTAAATACCTGAAGTCTGGTAATTTACTAATTCCATACTTTAATAATTTTGAAAACATAAAAATCCGAACTACTAAATACAGAAATTTGATGTTCCAAAAATTTCAAACTTCTAAATGTTCGAATTTACTATCTCCTCTCAACAAATACCCGATTTCTACTGAACTAAAAAATCTATAAAACAGAAAATCTTTCACATTCCATTTCATCGATTCCACCGATCTCACAGTTCGCAAAGAATCCTTTACAACTCACTAAAAACCACGATGATCATCTGTAAAACAATAGCACCAAGTTTCAATTCCATTATACGATTGAACCCCTCACTTCCGGTCTTCCGATTCGGAACATTCCTTCAACCTATCACATCCTAGCTGTTTCCTCTCCGCCCGGCATCCAAGTTCAAGCATCACAAACGAACAGAAACGTGTGCGGGGGCAGAGAAAATTAATTCGCGAATTCGATAAAACTTGCAGGACAATTTCACGGCTGGAAGTCGGTGTGTGTCCCCCGTTCGTTTGGTAGGGTTCGTTTCGAGGGAATAAAAAGAAACGGAAACAGCATCGAGGATGAGAAAAGTGTGGGGAGGGATGTCGAAGAAACTCGATTGAAAAGTTTTTCGCTCGTGTTGCCCGGGGCCATCGGGAGCACAATCGTGAGATAGTTTTCCGCGTGGTGTGCAGCTGCGAGATCTGCTCGAATGTGGGCCGACAACGGTTCACGGGAAATTCAGGCAAGATTTTTCGATAAAACTGTGCATCGCGTCGGAGGTCACAGAAAGAACTATGCCTGACTTTCGCGATCATCCCCTTCGGGCGTCTTTCGACTGTTTGTAAATTGAAAAGAACCGAACGAAAATGTTATTAAATTGTCGCGCTAGGGGCAGATGAGTTGATCAAACGTGCTATATGATCACGAATTCTCAATATTTTCACCGTATTTCTTCTTTTGGTTTTATGGGCAATTTTTGTAATACAGTAAAGACTGGATAACTACAACAAAATCGGGACCCAAGCGTTGCAGTTATCGAGTCGAAGTGTCGATTTTGTGTTTACATTTGACTCGAGCCGAGCGCTAAATGTAAGAAAGGACAGAGGCGAACGAGAGAGGCTATTGAAAATTAAATTTTTAGAAAAGTCTGACGAGTAATGGTCTTTTGGTTCCATACAAAGTCGCACCTCAATACACTCGAAAAACAAACAATATTACTACATAAACAAATGTTGTTCAAATTATGCGGTGTTTGGTCTTATTTTGATTAGGAAAATCTCACAGCTACATTGGTAAAAGTAATATTTAGTAAAACCAAAAAGTAAAAAAGTTTTACTGTTGCATTAGT